CAGAAACCCTGTGACCTACTGCAGGAACCTGCCTACAAAGCATACTTGTAATAAGTTTTACAATATTGTAAGATATAACAGCACAGATTTTATTGGCTAGCCAACCATTCTTTGGTGTGATACAAGGCTCACTCCCAGAGATTGAATCCATTTCTGACACTGCTAAAGTGGTCATGGGCACTAGGGGAAAACCTAGTACTATTAAATAAAACAAGCAAAAGACCAATTGGAGAAAAATGCCTAAACAAAGCAAAATGAAATAAAAAATTCACAAAAATATCATTGAGTTTTTTTTGTGTTGGGCAACTACTTTTGGACATGGGGCCTGTCCTGGAATGTGATTGATATATGCAGTGAGACTCCATGGGAGAAGACAGATTTCCCCTTTAGCAATGGTTATCAGTTGCAGAGTGCCTCATGATTAGTCATGGGATCCTGTGTAAATTCCCCTTCTCAGTACTGGGACCCCATCTGGTCTGAACCTGTGTAGGACATGTACATGCTGCCACAGTCTCTGTGAGTTCATATGTAAATCAGTCCACTTGTGTGGTGAAGAACTGTTTTCTTGGAGTCACACATTATCTCTGGCTCTTACAGCCTTTCTGATTCCTCTTCTACATAGATTCCTGAGCCTTGAGCAGAGGGGTTTGAGGAAGACATCTCATTGAGGACTGAGTACTGCAAATTCTCTTATTTTTTGCACAACAGCCAGTATTGATTCCCATCTACTGAAACAAAAACTTCTCTGACATGGGCTGAGCAAGGCATTGATCTGTGTGTATAGCAACACGCCATTAGGCATCATTGTATTGTTATGCTACTTCAGCAGTTTTCTTCATTGGAGTCTCACTAGGCATATGAAGCATATTCCAGGATAGGCCTCAAGCTTGGGGAGTAGTTATCCAACACAAAGAAACTCGGTGGTATTATTTTGGACATTTTGTTTCTTTTCTGCTTTGTTTAAGCATGTTTTTTGTCTTACAGTGTTTGTTTTGTTTTTTGATTTTATGTTTTTGCATGGGGGGGACTGTGTTTCTTGGTTTTTGGTTGCTTGTTGCTTGTTTAGTTTTTGTTTCTTGTTTTGTTTTGTTTGATAGAGAGGAGGAGAGACAAAGAATTTACGGTTGTGTGAGTACAGATGTAGAGAGGATCTGGGAAAAATTGGAGGAAGGAGAACCATGATCAAAATATATCATATGAAAAAATGTTGAAGAAAAATGTCTTAAAAACTACTCCTTTTATACAGGATGTCTTGCATCTTGACAGACTGTTACAGAAGTTAAGCAGGTGTTTCTGGATTCCAAGAACTGCTGATCATAACTCTTGGGGCTTGTATTCAGGTGTGAAGACCCCAAAAAGTGTAAAGCATATACCACCTAGTCTAACATTTGTGGATGCCAATTGTGGCTTCATCCCCATAACACTGCTGGGCACTTACCTAGTAGTGGAATTCCTTCAGTAGCCCTGACATATGGCATTTTATTCTTTGTTAACATGTATTATGGTGAATGAGGACTTTCTGTAATAGCCTCAATCACACTAATTAAGAATTTTCTACAGTGGTCTGAACTCTTGTTGCAGGATATTTGACCACACTGTGTGAAAGGCACCTTGTGATTGGTTTAAGAAAAAGCTTTCATAATTAAGTCTCCATGTCATTATTTGTAGGATGGTGGTCCCAACAAAAGAGACTGATTATACCCTGTGGCAGTATTTTGCATGTGTTATATAGCAACAATTACATATGTAGTTACTTAATCAGTAACAAGCATTCATGGGGCAAAATTAAAGAATGGAAAGCAAAATAGACACATTAACAAAAATTATTTCCTTTTCATGAAAACTTTTGAAATGTTTGCCTAGATATCTTAACTTCTGAAGAATAAATGTTTCCTGTAGGTCATCTGTTCCCAACCTGTGGGTAGAGACCCCTTTAGAGGTCAAATTACCCTTTCACAAGGGTTATATATCAGATATCATGCCTATCAGATATTTACATTATTATTCAGAACAGTAGCAAAATTATAGTTATCAAGTAGTAACAAAAATAATTTTATGGTTGGGGGGTCACCACACCATGAGAAACCGCACTAAAGTGTCACAGCATTAGGAAGGTTGAGAATCACTGCTTTAGACAGTACAATGATTCAAATGATCTTGTCCCTTATGTCTTATTTTTCTTCTGAACTACATATAAGGAAAGGAGGGATTGTGTTGACTACAGTGCTTACTCCTCTTCTAAAGGTAATATGAATATTATTTCACAGGAAAGATGTTACTAAGAGATTATTTTTGGTTCAAGATATTCCTTAGAGTGTTTCATAATATTTCCATGGCAAAACATGAATAGAAAGTCCCAACAACCTAATGAAAGCTTTTCAAATGTTTCTGTGTATTATGTCAAAAATAAGTTAGCAAAAATTCATTTTTATGATTTATTTTTTTAAAATTTACTTTTTATGTACATTGCTATATTTCCTGAATGTATATCTGTGTGGTAGTGTCAAGTCTCCTAGAGTTGAAGTTACAGACAGTTGTGAGCTGCTATATAAATGCTAGGAATTGAAACCAGGTCCTCTGGAAGAGCAGCCAGTGCTTTTAAGCACTGAGCTATCTCTCTAGTCCAGCAAAAACACATTTTAACTTTATTCTGATTTCTCAATTTAAATAATGAATTTGTATACATAAAGGAATAAAGGAAGGGAAGAAGGGCTTGTATCTGAAGATGAGTGGTTTGGATGAGTGATAGACATAAAGTAATAAAATTGAGCCAATGAAAAATCAGAATACTGAAATCTATAAACTTGATACATACAAGACAATGATAAAGAGGACATATTAGTTTCTGAATGGGCCCCAACCTCTACTTCTGTATACATCCAAAGTAAAGTAAGTGCTAGCATATTACATAGAGTGTTTATATACTTTCATTTAGTGTTTACCATCTCAAGCAAAGAAAAATCAGATTCATAGACCTTAATAGCAGAAGAAATAGATTCTAATTGGTTATATCATCAGTTTTGTCTTTGTGTTATAGCAATGAATTGACAATCAGAAATTAGCAGAAAACCATCAAAACAATGTGAACATTATACACCAGTAGAAATGAATAAACTACACACATGTAATAAAAACTAAAAAAGGAATGTGGATGCTTCCTGGACCTGATGCATTGGTGCCAGCAACATCATTTGGGTGTAACATAGTTCACAAATTTTTATTTAAGGCCTGATGGATACAAATCATGGTGATATATATATATATATATATATATATATATATATATATATATATATATATATATATATATATATATATATATCTTGTAATATTGGAGACAAACCTCAAGGAAAACAGACCATTACTGCTGTATATGAAGATAGGGGCAGATGGAGGTGGGATTTGATGTTGAGTTAAAAGTAGTAGAAGCAAAAGCATTTCTTAGACATGGGGAAATTATGTCCCAAATCATAAAATAGGTTTCAGTAAGAAAAATGTGGGGGAAGAAATTCAGACATTAAATAAAGATTTCTTGATAAGAAATCCAAATAATGCTACATGAACAAGCTAAGGAAAATGATTATATATATATATATATATATATATATATATATATATATATATATAATGTGCATCTGTGTTTCTATATGCGTGTGTATATATGTATATATAACATATATTATCATCTGTACATATTCTTGAACAGGTGGCTTATACAGGTCAGGGTAAGTTGTATGATATAAACATATCATCTGGTATCAATGACAATACATTGAAAGTTACTGAAAAGGACTACAATTTCACCCGAGAGCTGTTTGAAGACTCACCTGGTAATAATGTTTAGAAATGAAGATAGGGAGAACATGATGGAAGAAATTAACAATTAAACTATTGAGATACACAGGCAAATGGTCTTGAGGATGGGAATATCGGTTTCAGTGTGAAAATGTGTGTAATACCATTTTTGAGAGATGGATAGTAAGGTTTGATCTGTAGATGGATCATATCTTTTTTTTAAAAAAAAGTATGTATAAAGTATTTCTGATATCAAAGGCTTTTATTCCTAGCCACATAGTATGTGTTTTGTTATCAGATGCTCTCACCACAACTTGAATTTAAGTCATTTTTGTTCAAAGCTCCCTGTGTGTAGAAGTCATATCAAGAAATTTGGATGTTACTTAAAAATATAGTGGGTTTTTATGAGCTCAGGGTTTTGGTTATTGCAGAAAGAATGAAAATATTTCCTTTCCCTTATGCCACTTCTCTTTTTTTTCCCTAGGTGTATATTATTCAGTTCTTCAATCTACTTACATTCTTAGAAAGTCAACCTGTGGCTTGTTCAGAGAAATAAATCACTTCTTGTCTTATTTCAAGAAGTGCAACAATCTAAGAGCATCCTCAAACTGGCTGGCTTTACCCTCATGTCTTTGACTGCATTTTCATTTGTATGTTTGACTATGTTTAAATATTTGTCTATTCATATTTCACATATATATAATGAGTTGAATTTCTTCATCAAAGGAAATTCGCCATTTTGCATCAAATATGTCAGGAAGGACATTGGATGGCTATGAGTATTCCAGAGGTATTCATTTCTTCAGTGAAATCACACAAAAAACTGCCAACAACACAGAGTAAATGTCTCATGATTTTCAGGTGTAATAACAGAATTTTCTCTCTATCACACTCAAGTGTTTTTGAGAGAAGTAAAATGATTATGATATTTAGTGTATGCACAACATAATAATGTAATAATAATGTAATAAAATGAAGCTAAAAGTATTTCTTTTCTTTCTGCTTTATTCCGATATAAGAACAACTTTCTAAAAGTTTTCATATATGCATATCAATGAATATAAATGTATTTACCACTGTATTAAGAAGATAATAAGATATAAAAATTTAATTCAATAATCTATTCTAACATTTATAATTTCAAAATCCACATTTACTTCCACAATATTATGAATTTTAATAAATTTAATAGATATTAATGAGATTTAAACTGTTATTTTCAACATTTTTTTCAGAGAATCTATGACTTGCTTATTTCTGAGACTGTAGATAATTGGATTTAATACAGGGATTATAACTGTGTAAAACAGAGAAAGGATCATGTCTTGATCATCTACTTCTGAAGATGCTGGGTGCACATACATGAAGAGAAGAGGTCCATAGTACAAGCAAACAGATAGGAGGTGGGCTCCACAGGTGGAGAAGGCTTTCCTTACACCCTTGTCAGACTTCTTTTTTAAAATAGTAAAGAGAACAAATGTGTAAGAGATAAGAACTGTCATAATGGTAAACACTTGTATTGAACCAGAGAAAATGAAAATTATCAGATAATTCAAAGAAGGATCAGTACAGGAAATTTTCAACAGTGGTATAACATCACAGTAGAAGTGATATAGTATGTTGGAATTACAGAAGGTTAGTCTGAATAGAAAGCTTTCATGGATTACAGCATGAAGAAAGCCACCTACAAATGACAAAACTAATAGACGAAGGCATAGTCTATTGGTCATAATTACTGGATAAAGCAAAGGATTGCATATAGCTGCATAGCGATCATAAGCCATTGCTGCCAAGAGAAAACATTCTGTGGTCACACTTATTGCAAAGGAAAAGAACTGCACCATGCATTCAGAGACAGAAATCACCTTGCCCTTGTCCAAAAGATTGAATAGCATCTTTGGTGTCACTGTGGATGATAACCAAGTATCCACTAAAGCCAAATTACTAAGGAAGAAGTACATGGGGATGTGAAGTCGAGGGTCATTCCAGATAAGAGTGATAAGACCAAGGTTCCCCATAATGGTCATGAGGTATATTACCAAGAACACTAGGAACAGAAGGATTTTCCACTGTGGTTGGCACCTGAGACCTGTGAGAACAAATTCTGTCCGTACTGTTTCATTCTCCTTTTCCATGTCGTCATTGAATGTCTCCTGAAATTAGATTTAATGAATATAAGAGAGTAGTCACTGGGAGGGATTCATGTAAATATTGAAGGAGCATCTGCAGATGAGATAATGTATAACAGTTTTCTCATAATCTGAATAATACTACAACAGAAGGAATACTCTGGAAATTAAGAATGACAAATTTTTTTGTTTTTTTTTTTTTTTCAAGAGAGGGTTTCTCTCTGACATTTTGGTGCCTGTCCTGGAACTCACTCTGTAGATCAGGCTGGCCTCAAACTCACAGAGATCCACCTGACTCTGCTTCCTGAGTACTGGGATTAATGGTGTGAGCCACCACTCTCTTGCTAAGAATGACATTTTTTTAATTGATTCTGTGTGATAATCAGCAGGCAGTAATAGATTAAGAGTGAAAGGGAGACCTTCTAAGCCTGTGATACATTAAGTGCTAAATACACTTTACACTGGAAATTTTGTGTCTTGGATGTGATACACGAACATAAGAAAAGCTTTTGAATGTAATTGATTTTAAACAATATTGACTGCCTTGTACAGGAATTTGTATTTATCCCTTAAGAGTAGGCTTTTAATAAAATTCACAAGATGTGGAATGATGTTTACAGATACACTTTTAAATAAATATTTGCAAGACACACACACAAAAATCTTTTAAGAAAAAAATGTTGGACTGAGAGATACTAACCAAGACACTATGGTCCTAAGATTTCCAAATAAATTTACCTTGTTGGTAGGCCAGAAGGATGTTTTATATCAAATGTAGGTCATTAAACACTACTGTACCAATAGAGTAAGTACACAAGAATGCATTAGGAATATACACTCTAAATACATTCCTTTGCAGAAGCCAACGTAAGTATTGCCTAGTCTATATTGCCATTAAAAGGCAATTGCCCTGGTGGATTGATGATTACACAGGCTCAAAAGCATTCAGTATATATGATAACTAAGGTTTAGTTACATAATAGGAATCAAAGACTGGTAGAGAAGGAGAGGTAAATCACTTGATGGCTGGATCAGTGGCCATCCAAAGAAAATGAGAACTGCCTGGAACACTCATCTCTAAATGGGATGTCTCCATTCAATTCTTCCCCTTAGAGATCAGGAAACCCTTGGAAAAGGAGGCAGAAAAAATGTAAGAGCCACAGGGGTTGGAGGATCCCCAGAAAAAAAGGGCTTTCTAAATCAACATGAGAAAAGTTCTAATGAATTCAAAGAAACTGAACACAGCATTCAAATGGCCTGCACTGTCTGCACCAGCTCTGCATACGTATTATGGCTTCCAGTTTAATGTTTTTATGCTATTCCTGAGTGTGAGAATGAGTGGGTCTTTGATTCTGGTGCCCCATCTTGGATTGTTTTCCTTCTGGAGGTTTGCCTTTTCCAACTTTGATGTGATCGATTTTGTTTTATCTTAATATATTTTATCCTGTTATGTTTTGTCGTTATCTCTTAGAAGCCTCTTCTTGTGTAATGAGACAAAAGAGAGAAGCCAATGGAAAGGGAAGTCGGGGAAACTCTGAGGAGTAGAGGAAGGAGAAATCATAATGAGAATGTATTATATGAGAAAAATATTTTCAATAAAGGGAAAAAATAATAAATGAAAAGAATTCCATGTCTCTTTTAAACCCTAAAACAAGCAATGACTTGGTGCAATTAGGGCAGTTCTAAGTAGAGTTATGGGTAACTCATTCCTTAAAGACTATAAGGAAAGAAGTAAGGAGTAAAAGACAGGATACTGAGGAGGTGATATTAAAGAGACTGTACTGTGGTTGGATTTCACTAATTAGATAGATATATATGAATCACTTTCTTTTTTTTTTTTTTTTTTTTTTACAACTCATAAATAAAAATAAATTAATCACTAATTGGTTAAAACTATAGATGAATCTTATGTACAGTATGATAAGCATAAGAAGGGGGATTCAATGGAGTGAGTGCCAAAGCTGAACATGGTAGCACACGCCTATAATCCCAGCACTAGGGAAGCTGAGGCAGGAGGATTGTGCCAGCTAGAGCTACATAATCACACCTTATCACAAACAAAAAAAGTAT